CACACAGACAACCTCTGGTCAATATGCGTTTTTCGCATTGCATTGCTGCAAAAAACGCATAAAAACGACTACTTGGACGGTCTCCACATAGGTGAACTATGCGTTGGACAGGCGATGAGTACTAACTAGAGATTTGCAGCTTATAAGCGAGCAGCTTCCACAGAGCTGCATCTGGTGCTTCAGAAAGCTCTGGTAACATCACTAACATGGGATACACAGCGAATTTGCTGCTCCAGGTAACTATAATATCGACTGTTATTTAGTTTTTTTTTTTAAAGCAGCCTGGTTTACTCATTTACTGGACTGAACTTTATTGATTACATATCAATTTTTTTTGTTGAAATTTTGATGCAATTGATTAAAACATCAATAACAATTTGTTTTTTTTTTATTAGCGCGCATTAATTCAGAATTTTCCGAATCCTAATTTACAAAATTTTCAAAAAAAAAAAAAAGAAAATTTCCATAACCAACTATTTTACACGCAGTGTGTATATGTATTTTTAATATAATCATTTTTCCTGAATATTTTATTTCACAGTGCTTTTTATTAACGTTTACAATCATTTTCCCATAGCCATTGCCATAAAACTAATGGAAATTGCTTATTCAAAGCATCATGGTGTCGAGGATGGCTGTAAAATGGAGCAAGCGAAGCGATAAGCATCACTGTACTGCTCGGCTCGGCATCGTACGATTTGGTTTGCTGTTTCTGAACTGTCCATGTGGTGGCTTTTCGAGATTTTTGATATTCACTGCTTTTTTATGCTAATTTATCAAATCTATCCAGATTTATTATCGGTTCGAAGTCCTCGAAGCTGCCGCGGTGTAGGCTAATTCGTTCCGAGTTGCCCTGTCTGCTTGCTCAAACCCGCCTCTTCGTCACAAAATCCTCATTATCTCTTCAAATGCTTTCCAAGCAGCAGTAATGCGTCCATTGTATTTCTGCAGACCTCGGTGTGAGGGTATCAGCGGCAGCACTGCCGGTCGAAGACTCTCGGATCAAATTGGCTGAGGTCAATTCAGATGAGCTTAGCTCTACAATCATCGAATGCGATTAAATTTCACTGGCCTGCTCAAGACAGTATCTCATTCTCGAGGAGTGACGTAGGAGGGCGAGGGAACCAATATCTCCT